GTGAATTGTGACTCATTTGTCAGTAAGACCCATAGAAAGGACTTGCATTTGGGGGAGTTTGAGGTTCACCAGCAGGAGTCCACTGCATAACAGACAACCACTGGCTGCTGCATGGCACTGTGATGGCAGATGCACTAGAGGAGCTGGGCCTCCTGGCTTAGCGTTCTCTCCTTGATGATCTGTTTAAAATGTTAGTATCTACTTACTGGCTGGAATCTGGAAGAAATTCCTAGATGCTGACAAACAGGTTAAGAGAAAAAACCCCAGAGCTCCACACTCTGAAATGGGCTTTTACAATCTTAGTTACAGGAAAACCCCTGAACCCAGGCAGGCCTCTGGCCTAACATAGGAAGTTGCCTAGAGATTGTAGAGAATCCTATAGGCATCTGAGCCTAGGATAGCTTCAGCTTGGCACCATTCTGAGAGCCTATATACAAGGGATATACAGATGTGGCTGCTGCTGTTGTGCCATTCTAAGAAGGGAGAGGGTAGACCAGGTGCTTCCATGCATCCTTAGGATGGTCCCCAGCACCCTGCTATGAGACCAGGATGTGAGTAGACTGCTCACAGCCCCAAGGATGGTTCAACATATGCATTTAATAAATGTGATATATCACAGAAACAGAACTGAGGAAAAAAACCACATGATCATTTCAATAGATGCAGAAAAATCATTTGATAAAGTTCAGCATCCTTTCATGATAAAAATCCTCAACAAACTCTGCATAGAAGGCACATACCTCAAAATAAAATAACAAAGGCCATATACAATAAACTCATAGCAAACATCATACTTAATGGAGAAAATCTGAAAGCATTCCCTTTAGAGGAACAAGACAAAGATGCCCACTTTTAGCACTCTTAGTCATTGAAGCACTGGAAGTCCTAGCCAGAACAATCAGGAAAGAGAAAAAAATAAAAGGCATCCAAATTGGAAAAGAGGAAGTTAAATTATCTTTGTTTGTAGATGGTATGATCGTATACTAGAAAACCCTAAAGATTCCACCAAAAACTCATAGATTGATCAGTGAATTCAGTAAAGTTTGAAGATGCAAAATCAATGTACGAAAATCAGTGGCATTTCTATACATCAGTAATGATTTAGCCAAGAACAATAGCTACCAAAAAAAAAAAAAAACAAACAAACCCAAAACCAAAAAGCAAACAACCCCCACCCCCACCAAAAAAACACCTAGGAATATATTCAACCAATGAGGTGAAAGATCTCTACAAGGAAAACTATAAATCATTGATAAAAGAAATTATAGAGGACATAAACAAATGAAAAAACATCCCATGCTCGTGAATTGGAAGAATTAATATTGTTAAAATGACCATACTGTCCAAAGCAATATATAGATTCAATGAAATGCCTATCATAATACCAACAACATTTTTCACAGAATTAGAAAAAAACAATTCCCAATGTCAGATGGAACAAAAAAGGGTCCAAATAGCCAAAGCGATTCTAAGCAAAAAGAACAAAAATGGAGGCATCATATTACCTGACTTCAAATCATACTATAAGGGCATAGTAAACAAAACAGCATGGTATTGGTATAAAAATGGACACATAGATTAATGGTACAGAAAAGAGAACCTAGAAATAAAGCCACAGACTTATAGCCAAGTGATCTTTGACAAAGTCAACAAGAACATACACTGAGGAAATGACACCCTATTCAATAAATGGTACTGAGAAAATTGGATTACCATGTGCAGAAGAATGAAACTGGACCCCTAACTCTCACCATACACAGAAATCAACTCGAGATGGATTAAAGATTTGAATTAAAGACTTGAAACTATAAAAGTACTAGAAGAAAAGCTATGGAAAACTCTTCTGGACATTGGTCTAGGCAAGGAATTCATGACTAAGACCTCAAAAGCATAGGCAACAAAAATACAAATAGACAAAAGGGACTTAATTAAAGTAAAAAGCTCTGTACAGCAAAAAAAAAAAAAAAAAAGCAGCAGAGTGAACAGACAACCTATGGAACGGGAGAAAATATTTGCAAACTATACATCTGACAGGGGACTAATATCCAGAGTTTACAAGAAACTCAAACTACTTAACAACAACAAAAAAGAAATAATCCCATTAAAAAGTGGGCTAAGGACATGAATAGACATTTTTCAAAAGAAGACCAAAAAATGTTCAACATCACTAATTATCAGAGAAATGCCATTTGCAACTACAATGAGATATCATCTGACACCAATCAGTTTGGATATCATTAAAAAGATTAAAAAAAAAGATATTAGCGAGAAAGCAGAGAAAAGGGAACACTTACACAGTGTTGATGGGAATGTAAATTAGTAAAACCTCTATGGAAATCAGTATGGAGATTTCTCAAAGAGCTAAAAATAGACCTGTCATTTGATCCAACAATCTGGGTATCTACTCAAAGGAAAAATCATTACATCAAAAAGATACCTGCCCTCTTTTATCACAGTGCTATTCACAATAGCAAAGATATGGAATCGACCTAAGTGTCTATCAGTGGATGATTAGATAAAGAAAGTGTAATATATATACACAATTATTTACTATTCAGCTATTAAAAAGAATGAAATAATTTTCTTTAACAACATGGATAGAACTGGAGACCATTATCTTAAGTGAAACAACTCAGACACAGAAAGACAAATACCTCATGTTCTCACTTACAAGTAGAAGATAAATAATGTGTACACATGGAAGTAGAGTGTAGAATGATAGACAGTGGAGGGTAGAGGTGTGGGAGGAGGGTAGATAATGATAAATTACTTAATGGGTACAATGTACGTTACTCTAATGATGTACAGACTAAAAGCCCTGACTTCACTACTGTGCAATATTTATTATACTTGTACTCCATAAATTTATACACACAAAAAAAAGGCATAGACTCAAAACCGGGAGCTGTCAGTTCTTTAAGGGTGACTGGTATGAGCATCAATAAAGTATTCTAAGGATATAAATTTTTTGAAGATTATTTTCTAAGTTACATATTTACCTAAAGCATTAAAAATCCTGAACAAATTCAACAATAACAAATGTGTGCAATTGTTTCTTTCAGCTAAGCCAGGATGCATTGTGGCTCTGTCTCTTATGATAGACTATTTAAGCCAGAGAATATAGTTCACAATTTGAAACATTTATGTTTTACTTGTATACAGAAATATTTAGGACAAGTTCTTGAAAAGACAAAAAAAAAATCTAAAAATAGGGAATTATAATAGAATAGGTTACAGTATCTCCTAAAACTTGTATATGACATACTTTCTATTATGGAGTCAAACAGAGCCTATAAACACATATCAGAAATCCTGAAGTAATTTTTATTTCTAGAAAAACAGCAAAGGTGATATACAAAATAAAGTGAATTGCTAGACTTTTACAAACTCCTAACAAAAGTTTACAATTTCCTGCAGTGGAGATGCACCAGCTGCTTCAGGATGTGGGTAAGACAAGCATGTTCCTGTGGTAACCGTTTCCCACACAAGAAAAATAGTTAAAAGACAAATCTTTGCTAAGCTGCAACCTCCCAGGTCTCCTGATTTATGATACCAACAAGAACAAAGTAAATTGAGCTGTTTAAGAAGTAGTTTAGAAGTAAATATTCAATGAACCAGCAAAGTTTGTCAAATAAAATCACTCTTAATTTACAACGGAAAGAAATACCTTAACATAGTTTGATATTGTCAAAACATTTTAGTACGTGGCATTATATTTTTTACTGATATACTACTAGATCTAGTATACTTTGCAACCATACAAGATAAATATACACATAAATCCTTTAAGGTCCTAGTCAGTCCTTAGTATATGTTAATAATAATTCTCTTAGTGCTACAAATACAGATTTATTCAATTGAAATATGGTGGACATTTGGTTTCTCATAATCTCATATTGTTTCTTTATCTTTTAACCATAAGCTTATCTTCTTATAATATTTACATATTAGTGTTATTTTATACTTTTCTTGTTCATTGTAATTCATTCATTTTATTCACTCATCCTTCCAACAAACATTTATTGAGTATTTACTATATATCAGCAAATAATTGGGTCAATTCATTTTTCCACTGATTTCTCATGTTGTACTTACTCCCCTTCTGGAACTCATTCAATAATATTTCTGATAATAAAAAGCCTCATTTTTTCATTCCATTGGTGCTGATCTCCCCAAAACTTCTATCCAAGAGCTATTGTTGTTATATCTTTATTTCTAAGAGTGAGATGGAGTAGGGTGTGGAGAACTGGGTTGTAAGGAAAGAAATTTAAATGTTTTACTTGTGCTCAACATGCAGTGTACTTAGGTAAGTGTTCAACACGTATTATCTTAAATCAGTTTCATAACAACAAAATGAGGTAAGTATATTATTATTCCCTTTTCATAAACTGAAAAACTGAGTCTCAGCACTTAAGGGATTGGTCACCTAAGGTCACACAGTTAGTAGTTGGCAGTGTCAATAATGTAACTCTGGTCTATCTAATCACAAAATCTTTCTGACAGCTCTTTTAAAAGCATAGTTAGAACCAAATACTTCTTTTTCTCAATCTTTGAAAAAAATTGTTTGAATCTATGCTACTCATAAAACCTAGCTCTCCTCCTCTTCCATTTTGCCTGCAAAAACAATATACTATTTAGATCAACTGCTAAAGAAATACCTTTTAACAATGGTTTTTGAAGCAAAGGTAGACAGCTCATACAATGAAAAACGCTAATGAATAAATTAAAGCATTTTTAAAATCCTGAAATCTATCTGTCCATACACTGTATTATGTTTGATTTTTTTTTCAGACCACTCTTCTAATATTACTGGGAATAACAGATAATAGATTATGAATAGGTATCTAAAAGTTAGTACTATAAATATAAATTAAATCAAGGAAAAACACAAATATAAAATATCTATTTTTATTAACAGAAATGAAATAATATCACAAAATTAATGTTAAAGAAAAAGAATTTATTATGTAGCATTTTAATTATTTCATATCAGTATGTACCTTATATTCTTCAAAATCATTGCTATCTAGCAAGTCCCTTTTCTCCAGTTCTACAAGTTGTTCTGCTGAGGGGTTAGCAGGTAGCGGCTTAACAGAGGCTTGTTCATATATGGGCTTCCCATTAAAAAACAGTTCCTTCCAATCATGCATAAACTTATATGGTATCATACTATTGCAAAAACAAAAAGGTAGAGATGAGTCAATGGTTAGTCAAATATATACTTTAAACCTTAGTATCTGTATTATATTTATGTAATTAACTCACTTTCATCAAATTTAAATAGAAATAATTACTGAAAAATAATTTTAAAGGTTACCACATGTGCAATGACAATCAGACCAATATGTATCATATTTTTCTGTTGCAAATTATTTATAAGTATGTAAACTAACTGTTATCTTAAAGGGGCCTTGAAAAGCATTTAGTCTGTTCATTTTGCCCAGGAGGACACTGATACTAGAGCATTTAAATGATTTCCTAAGGTTGCACATTCAGTTGATATCAGAGCTGGGAATTAAAGAACCTAAGTGTTCTGATTCTGCTGAGTATTTTTAGATACATTGTTCTGTTATGAACCAGTGGAATGAAGTAATGTTCATTCATTCAAACATAAGTTCTGGATATTTTACTAACCATTAAGGATATAATAGCAAGTGGAATTTTAGGCCTCAAATACTAGACTCTGAGAAAGAAAGGGTAAAAATAATTGTACAAATAAATAAAAGTGTTAAATGAGAACATACAATGGGAAAGTATAACAGCTTGACTCAACTTAACTTGGTCTAAGGAAGGTCTCTTTGAAGAAACAACTGCTAAGCTGAAGCCGAAAGAATGCCTATGAGGCAACTAGGACAGAGTGACAGGAAAATTGTTCCAAGAGGAACAAAATGAGCAAAGGAAAGAAAGAGCCAAATATGATTCAGATGCATTTCTCTACAAACAGACCAGAATTTGAAATTACAACTTAAAAATTAGTATATTTCACTCTAATACATGCTACAACATGGATGAACCTTGATGACATTATGCTAAGTGAAATAAGCCAGACACAAAAGGACAAATATTGTATGATTCTATTTATATTAGGCACTTAGAACAGACAAATTCAGAGAGACATAAAGTATAATAGAGATATCAGGGGCTGGTGGCAGGGGGAATGAGGAGTTATTATGTAATGCGTACAGACCTAACAACCTTTCCTGTTTAAACAACTGTGTGGTCAGGGGTCTTGGAGAACTCCTGACTCTACACATATTCAGGTATTTCTTCCCCCTTCTTTCTATCTCCTTCATGTATCAGGGCTTTAAAACCCTCCTTATAAACTTTAAATATTCTCTTTCTGGTTCTACCTTAACATTTGTAGAGATTATTTGGCTTCATGATTGCAATTCACTGAAAGTAGTCCATATATTTAAAAAAAAAAATGTTAGCTATCTTACCTTTACTGTAATTTTTTTCACATTTAAGATGCAAGGAAAAAAACAGATAAAATGGCAAAAGCAGGAACACTTTTTAAATACCTTCTCTAATATTTAAGAATATTGGTCTAGGCTAGGCACAGTGGCTCATGCCTTTAATCCCAGCACTCTGGGAATAAGAAAATCACCTGCTATGGCTTCTGTGGCCCTGAATGTGTTCCTTTCTTATTAACTGAAATTCCTAAGATTCCATGCATACATTTAGGCTGGCTATTCCATTTTCTCTTCTTGAGTGATCCAGATTTCATCAGCTCACCTCAGACCAGCCTGGGCTGCTGAAGCAATTATTAATTCAAAATAAAACAAGTGAGGGAGAAACGCTAATACATCAAACAAGGGATGTTTTAGAAGTAGTACTACACTTTCCATTTTACTTCATTTAATTTGATTAAATAATTTACTTTTTGAGACAGGCTCTTGGTCTGTTGCCTGGGCTAGAGTGCCGTGGTGTCATCATAGCTCACAGCAACCTCAAACTCCTGGGCTCAGGCGATCCTCCTGCCTCAGCATCCTGAGTAGCTGGGACTGCAGGCGTGCACCACCACACCTGGCTAATTTTTCTATTTTTTGTAGAGAAGGGGTCTCACTCAGGCTGGTTTCAAACTCCTGGCCTCGAGCAGTCCTCTCATCTCAGCCTCCCAAAGTGCTTGGATTAGAGGTGTGAACCACTGCTGCTCAGCCACTTTCCATTTCAGAATGAGCTTTTCTTACTTTAAATAACTTGTCCTGAAAAGTCAAGCTACATGGTCTGCTTTAGCCCAGTAGTCTCTATGAATCATTTATGCTACTTGTATGTTATTCTATTGCTATTTAAACATACTTTGATTTTTTAAATTAAACTTTCTATTTTGAGATAATTGTAGATTCACATGAAGTTGTAAGAAAAAATGAGGAGAGATCCATGTACCCTTTACCTAGTGTCCCCCAACTGTAACTTCTTGCAAAACTATAGTACAATATCACAACCAGGATATTGACATTGATACAGTCAAGATACAGAACATGGCTATTCCCACAAACACAAAACCCGTCATCTTGCCCTTTATAGCCACACTCACTTCCCTCTCACCCTTACCCTCTCTTTAGCCTCTGGCAATTGCTAATCTGTTCTCAGTTTCTATAATCTTGTCATTTCACACACGTTATGTAAATGGAATCACACAGCATGTAAACTTTTGGGATTGGCTTTTTTTCATTCAGCATAATTATCTGGAGATCCATCCACGTTGTGGCATGTTTATTCTTTTTTATTGCTTAGCAATAATCCATGGTATAGATGTTCCACAGTTTAGCCATTGTCCACTGAAGAACATGTGGATTGTTAAAAGTTTTAAGCTATAAACATTCAACCATTTTTGTGTGAACATAAGTCTTAATTTCTCTAGGGTAAATGCCCAGAAGTATAATTGCCAAGTAGTATGAGAGTTGTATATTCAACTTTTTGAGAAACTGACACACTGTTTTCCAGAGAGGCTGTACCATTTTACCTTCTCACCAGCAATGAATGAGTGATTTTCTCTGTATCCTTATCCACGCTTGGTGTTTTCATTAGTTTGAAAATTTTAGCCATTCTTATAGGTGCGTACTGATATATCACTGTGGTTTCAATTTGAATTTGTCTAATGGCCGATGGCAAAAACTTTTTTCATGTGCATATTTGTCATTAGTATATTCTCTTCAGTGAAATGTGTTTTCACATCTTTTGTCCATTTTCTGATTGGATTTTTTCATTGTTGAGTTTTAAAAATATTTGATCTATCCTAGAGGTTACTTCATCCTTTGTAGGATATGTAGTTTGCAAATATTTTCTCCCACTTTGTATGTCTTTTCATCTTTTTCAAAGCAAAAGGTTTTAATTTTGAGAAGTTCAATCTATCAGCTTTTATCTCTTGCAGAGCAAAAGTTTCTAATTTTAATGAAGTCCAGTTTGTCAAACTTTCCTTTTATGGATCATGCTTTTGGTGTCAAGTCTAAGAACTCTCTACCTGGTCATAGAACCCAAAGATTTTCTCCTGTTTTTTTTAAAAGTTTTATGGTTTTATGTTTTATATTTAAGTCCATGATTTATTATGAGTTAATTTTTTTTTTTTTTTTTTTTTGAGACAGAGTCTCGCTCTGTTGCCCAGGCTAGAGTGCCGTGGCAATGAGTTAATTTTTATATAAGGTATAACAATTAAAGATTCTCTTTTTTTAAAAAAATTATTTCTTCCCTATGGATACCCAAGTGCTCCAGCACCATTTGTAAAAAAGGCTGTCTTTCCTTCATCAAATTGCTTTTGCACCTTTGCAATAATCAATTGAGCATTTTTGTGTGGATCGACTTCTGAGTTCTCCATTCTGTTCCATTGATCTATGTGTCTATCCTTCTGCCAATACCACACAGTCTTGATTACTGTAGCTGTATCGTAAGTCATGAAATTGGGTAGACTGATTCCTCCCAATAAATATTTCTTTTCAAAATTGTTTTAGCTGTGCTAGTTACTTTGCATTTTCATGTAAATTTTAAAATAATTTTGTCTGTATCTACCAAAAATATTTCTGGGCTTTTGATAGGCATTGATTAAACTTCTATATTAACTTGGAAAAAACTGACATCTTTATTGAATTTTCCAATCCATGAACACAGCATGTCTGTACATGTATTTAGATCATCTTTGATTTTTATTATTTTTGTCAGTGTTTTATAGTTTCCTTCATATAAATCCTGCACATATTTTGTTAGGTTTATACCTAAGTATTTCATTTGCTTTCCTTTGATTAATGTTTGCCTGATAAATCTTTTTCCATCCTTTTACCTTCAACATGCATATATCGTTTTATCTGAGGTGAGTTTCTTGTAGACAGCATGTAGTTTGGTCATATTTTTAATCTACTCTTCCAATTATTGATATGTTAGAGCTTAAGTCTTTCATTTCATTTCTGTTTTCTGTTCTTTCTGGTTTTTGTTTGTTTGTTTGTTTGTTTGTTTCTATTTCATTTTCCTGCCTTCCTATGGGATAAATAACTATTTTTTAGAATTCCCCTTTGAATTATCTATAGTGTTTTTGAGTGTATCTTTTTGTAAAAGTTATTCAGTTATGCTAGGCTTTATATTATACATACATAATTTATCCCATCCATTGATGTCATCATTTTACCAGTTCAAGTATAGAAATTTTACCACCCTTTAGGTCCCTTTACCTTTGCCCATTTATAATTCTTAAATATTTCCTCTACATAATTTAGAATTATATCAGAAAGTGTTATAATTTTTGCTTCAACTGTCAAATTGCTTTCACAAGAAAAGAAGGAAATCCTATTGTACTTACTCATATTTTTGCTTATCATGTTCTTTCTTCTTTTCTGATATTCCAAGGTTCCTTTCTTTGAAAGTGCTTGCTTGCATGGATAGTCGTTGACTTGGTGTTCACACAGAGGGATGATCTCTGGAGGTTTCTATTCAGTCATCTTGTTCCACACCCCTCCTCTGAGGTTCCTTTTCTTAAAATCATTTCTTTCTGTTTAGAGAACTTCCCTTTAGCCATTCTTTTTAGGGTAGGTATGTTGGCAACAAATTTTCTTAGTTATCATCATCTAACAACATTAGATTTCCTCTTCAGTCCTGAAGGACATTTTCACCTTGTGTAGGATTCTGTGTTGAGAGTTTATTTCTTTCAGTATTTGAAAAATATTATGCCACTTCCTTTTGTTCTCCATGGTTTCTGGTGAGAAATCCTCTGTCATCTCAATTACTTTTCCCCTATAGGTAAACTGCTATAGCTGTAGTTCTCTGGGTGCTTTCAAGATGTTGTTTTCTTTCATTAGTTTTCAGAAATTTTATTATAATGTATCTTTACATGAATTTTTCTGGGCTTATCTTGTTCAGGATTTGCTGAGATTTTTGAATTTATAGAATTATATTGCTTGGCAAATTTGGGAAATTTTCAGCCATTATTTCTCTGAGTACTTTTTCAGCCCCACCTTCTTCTCTACTTTTGGGACTCCAATGACATGAATGACTGGTCTTTGAAGCTCCGTTAATTTTTTTCAGTCTATTTTCTATATGTTGTCCAGACAGGGTAATTTCTATTGCTTTATTTTCTAGTTCACTGATCCTTTCCTCTGTCCCCTTCATTCTGCTGCTGAGCTCAACCACTGACCTTTTAATTTTGATTATATTTTTCAGTTCTAACATTTCCACTTGATTCTCATTGATATTGTATTTCTTTGCTGTGACTAAATTTTGATAAGATTTTCTTCATTTTTTCCAAGGATGTTTGTAATTTTTCTTTAAAACATTTTTGTCATAGCTGCCTTAAAATCTTTATCAGACAATTCCAACATCTGTGTCATCTCAATGTTAGTTTAGTTTCCTTATAATTTTGTTCTTATAATTTCTGAACTTTTGAATTAATATCAATCTGAAAAGTATTTTTAAACATTCCTCTTTAATTACTTTTACTTCTTAGTGTTATTTATTTCTTTTTTTCTCAATCTTGTACCTTATTAGTTTTATCTTCAAAAGTCCTCATCATTGTGTTATTTCATTTGTTAGATTTTTATATGATAGTGGGCCAGACATATGGCTGTAGGGGATAGAGATGTAGAGAAAGCCTTTATCAGGTATAGGTGTAATGGGATGCTTTCCCTCTTTTTTTCTGACCCTGCAGGTAATCTGGCTTTCATTCCTTTCATTGTGAATTCTTAAGAAGATTTCAACCTGAGTAACTGGAGAGGTATACAAATTTAACTGGATTGCCTTATCCTTCTATTTGTGGAGGTACTTTCCCTGAGATATACTGTAGTGTCTTAAACCTTTAGTTTTCAGCAAAGGACAACACAAGAAATAAGTCTTTGAATCCAGATGTTACATTCGCTGAAAAGACCTTGCTGTAAGACATTCTCCTCTAGGTCCATTGGACTACTCAGTGTATGTTAGGTGAGATCACATTAGAAAACTATTTTTCTTAACTGAGTGCTAAGAAAATTTTGTATTCTGTTGAGAACTAGAACATAAAATGAAAAGCATGCAACAGATTGTTTCTTTTTTTGCTTCGGCTTCTAGGAAGCTCAGATCAAATTTGCAGCTCAGTTGCAGTTACTGACAAATCTACTGCTGCCTATATAACTGTCTTTCAATTTATCCTTTGTTCTTAACTCCCTGCTTTAATTTGGATTTTCCTTTGTTATTATTTTGGCATTTTCTTTTTTGGTATTTTTAAATATTTCCTTACAAATATGTCGATTCCTTTTAGAAACAAGGTATAATGAAAAGAAATAGATTTAACAAGTAATAAAATAATCTTTGAATAATTCAAGTCTTATATAAAGTTCCAAGTGTTTCAAATAAATTAT